ACCACACCTGACAGACTCTGTAGTTAAGCCTAGAAAATCAGATTGAGCTGGCAGAGTGGAGCCTATTAAGGTGACAGTAATTGAGGAAAACAACTATTACACGTTTGAAGTGGCATCTGTAGGCGGCACATGGGGTGACTGCGGTGCCCCCAAGTATGTAGAAATAAAGGAAATATGAGTGTGTCAGAGCTGACTATGAAATCTACGTAAGTCCCTGCAAGCAGGGTCTCAAGTTAAAAGCCAGTTGCGTCTAGGCTGGTTAATATAAAAGAGAGGATATAACTTCGAACCAAAAAGCTATTCTCCATCTATCTGTAAGTAACAAAAAGAGTTCTGTTCCAACTGCTTATTCCCCCCCCCCTTTTCTTGCAGTGTTATCAGATGTGATCTTAAAAGAGATATCTAGATTGTAAAATGTTGGCAACTAATTTAAGAAAATGTGACCCACTTTGAAGTATGGACCAAATAAATACCTCTGGTCTTAAAATCAACATATTTTCTGTTCTACTCCTATATTTACTGAACCACCCGTTCATTGGATTTTAAATGACATTTTCACTACATTGAGATAATTAGTTACCATCTACATTTATCGTATGCTGGCATCATTGCTTCCTATGTGTTTGAAAGCTGGACGGTGATAGAAAAAAAATTGATGGCTTTGAATTGTGATGTTGGAGAAGAGGAAAGACTATCCTATCGACTGTCAAAAGATAAACAAGTCCATCTTGAAGAAAGTTCAATCAGGGTACTTCTCAGAGATGAGGATGGTAAAACTTCGTCTCGTATACTTGGTGCATGTTATCAAGATGGTCCATTCAGTGTTTGAAAAGGATATTATGCTAGGAAAGGTTAAGGGTCATATAAAGATGGGAAACCCACCAATAAGATGGATTGGCACAGTGACTGTCACAATGGGCTTGAACACATTGGGGTGGTGCGGATGGCACAGGATGGGGCAGAGCTGTTGTTCAGAGGATCACTCTGAGTTGTAGTTGACTCAAAAGCATCAAACAACAATACACCAACACTCTAAGGAATCCTGGTGGTGCACAGGTTAAGCTCTTGGCTTCTAACTGAAAAGTTGGTGGTTCAAACTCACTTGTGGCTTTCAGGGGGTAAAAAGACCTGGTGATCTACTCTATAAATAATAGCCTGGGAAACCTTAGTGAGCAGTTCTATTCTGTACTGAAAACTCTCTGAGTCAGAACAGACACAAAAACTGGATTTTTTGGTTTACTGTATGCCAGACACGAATCCTGTCTACTCCACTGCAAAACAGTTGTTATAATCAGAATTAAAATACTCTTCAGCTCACAAAGCTATTGAGATTTCAACCCAAGTGTCTGTCTACATCACCTCTAGTTTTTTCTCAAGCAGACTAAAAATAAAAGATAGCTAGAGTTTGAGTCTTCCACTAACCCCCAGGAAGTATGCATTTATCTTATAAAAAGCAATCTTCTGGTTTTCCCTGCTTCAGTCCTGGCCCTGCTCCCAGCACCAACTCCTGTAGGTCTTGGGTTTATGATGCATAATGCATATTGGGAGTGGATGGGTGGTATATATGGTGACAGTATTTGCCTGCTAACCAAAAGAGTGTATGATTGAATCCACTTAGAGGAACCTTGAAAGAGTTTGCTAATCTACTTCTGAAAAATCACCCAGTGATAACCCTCTGGAGCATGGTTCAAGTCTGACCACCTCAAGTCACCATGGGCTGGAGTCAACTTGTCAATATGTGGGGATAATTCTTGAATTACAAATGTAAAGTAGATAACTGGGAAGCCGATAATTCAGCGACATCCATGATTCATCCAAATGCATCCCTGAGAGAGCTATTGGTGCCATGACTATAACAATGGATTTGAGTGTATCAGATCAAGAAGATGATGCAGGAGAGGGCAAGGTTCGGATGTATTTTTCACAGGGTCACTATGAGTTGTGTTGTAATTGACTGGATGGCAACCAATAACAACAATAACTAAAGTAATTGCCAAACTTGGGAGGCTGGAGGCTAAACCCTGGGCAGCTGTCTAGTTTCTAATTACTTCGACAAAATGTGTAATTTTCAGTGACTGTCAATTTCTTCTTTACAAATTTATACTGATGGGGGGAAAGTTCATCAAAGCCAATTTAGGTGGATGGGAACTAGAACCTGACCAGCAAACATGGCACTCTGCTTATTGTTGTTGTTGTTTGTTGTTATGTGCTGTCGAGTCACTCGCGACTCATACCTTATGTACAACTCTGCTTAGTTGGATTTAATTTGACGTGCGCGTCCTGCTCTGAATCGAAGAGATGTGAGGGTCTCTTTCTCGAGGTGTTGGCATTTCTTGTAGAAGTGGCTGCTCTCCAGAAGTTCCCTAACCTATTTAGGGGTTCCCATGGATTGTCTCCCACTGAAAGCATGTCGTGAAGCAATCCCTTTCCTACTGAGGTATCTAGATCCAATTGAAAAATCCAAATGAGGCTCTGGGCAAATTAAAAGCATGACAGGAAAAACTTCAAGAGACTTGTTAAAGGAAGTGGGTAAATTTAAGTGTGGTCAACTCTTGTGTGGAAGTGGACCTGGAGGTCAACCTCAGCCTGTCAATAGAATTCATAGTGAACACTGTAGTCCACCAATCAGCTGTGCAGAGAGCTCCAAGTCAAACCTTTGTGTTAACTGCATTGTTTGAATGAACTGTTAGCCTAGTGCCACATGGGAGCAGTGATAGTTCAGTGGTTAGAACTCTTGCCTTCCACAAGGAGACTTGGGCTTGATTCCTAGTCTAGTGTACCACATACAAAGCCATGACCTCCCTCATATCAATGGAGCCATTGTGTTGCTAAGACTCTGAATAGGTTTCAGAAGAACTTTTAGATTAAGACACATTAGGAAGAAAGACTTGATGATGAACTTCTGAAAATCAGCCAATGGAAACACTGTGGAACACACACCTGATTCCACTGGGCAGATAGTCACTATGCATGGTGGTTGACTAGATGATATCGAATAATAACTGTAATATAGACTTTGAAGTTTGTAGGTTTCTAGAAACTCTATTCCTAGAAATTGTGTTGGGAAAGCAAACTGGGAGATGGCAGATGGATAACACACTATGGAATTCAAGTCTAAGATCATAATTCATCAATGATTGCCTTTGGAAGGCAATTATATGGACAGATGCAAGGAGATTTTGTACATGAATATAAGGCATACAATTCAAGCTTGTCTGGATTTGAACTGTGGTATTGGAGAACAGTACCTAATATCCCATGGACTGCCAAAAAACCAGATATGTCTTGGAGAAGATACAGCCAGAGTGCTCCTTGGAGGCAAAGATGATTAAACTTTGTCTTACAGTTTTTGGGCAAGTTGCTAGGAAAGGCTATTCATTAGAGTAGGAAATCATGCTTGTGAAGGTGGAGAGACAGTGAAAGAGAGGAAGACCTTCAACAGGTGGATTGACGCAGTTACTGCAGCAAAAATGGGCTTAAATGTGCCAGAGTCTGTGAGGATGACACAGGATAGAACAGGATTCAGATATGTTGTTCGAAGGGTTGCTATGAATCCTACTCAACTTGATTGCACCTAACAACAATAACTAGGTTTGATTAAGGAAATTTAGCCTAGTATCTCTGGAACTTAAAAAAAAACCCTCTCTTTAATATTGATGAATCTTGACACACTTTCCTCACTAGAAACTCAATAGAAATTAGGTCATCTGATATGATTTTGGAGATAGCAATGTGTCAGAATTTCACGTTAGAGTAGTTTTTCAAGCCACCAGATGTAGTAATCCCCAGCAACAAGGGATGATGGATGGAGGAGTGACACAAGAACATCCCTGTGCTCTTTGACAAACTTTCATCCCAGATACATTTTGCTTCATGCTGCCTTTTCTCCCTGGCCTCATGTAACCCAGAGCAAACTTATTCTTTAGATTTTTAGAATATTCCTACTGAGAGAATCATCTAAAATAAGATTGTATGAAGAGGGAGCCCAAAGATTTAGTGTTATATTAGAAGCGTATTTTTTTCCTTAAATTTCCACTGATTTCACTTTGGTTTGGAAGTTTTCTATACATGCATACAAACAGGTCTGTCTTGGAGAGGATGAAACCAGATTTCTCCTTAGAGGCTAGGATTTTGGAGCTCCATCTCATATACTTTGGGCACATGCCCAGGAGAAACCAGTGCTTGGAGAAGAACATCATGCTTGGAAAGGTGGAGGGACAGTGCAAGAGAGGAAGATCCTGGATGAGACAGATTGACACAGTAACTGAGGTAATGGGGGTAGATGAGTTGGAGTCAGTGAGACTGGTTCAAGATCAGGCAGGGTTCAGACCTGTTGTACTTAGTAGGGTCTCTATGAGTCACAGGTGACTTGATGGCACAAAACAACAACAACAACTTTATTATTCACTATACACCACACACTGAGTGATCCCTCTGAGTGCCTTGCATATATCAAATTATTAATCATTACCATATCTTTACAAAGTAGGTACATCTTATTCTACAGGTTAAGAAACTGAGTTACAAAAAAGCTACAGAACTTGTGTGGCAGGTTTAAAAATTTGTAAGTCTTCATCATGGCATTAGAAATCAGGCTAGTGAGCTCTAAAAGTGCGACTTGAAGATGTGGATTGTCTATCTAAATGAATCAATTTGCACGTTGAGGAATGTTCTAGGAGGAAAGGGGCGCTAGGGTCACAGTGAAAAAGCACGATTTGAATTCTGCTGGGAAGTCAGGAATCTCCAAGATCCAGATCGTCATTTGGCTGTGGCATCAAGACCTGGGAGAGGTTTTATGAGTTTGTTTGAGTAAAGACAGAGTTTCAAACTCCCTGTTTAAATTTTTTAGATAATAAAAAAAAAATTATATTATAGTGGACTCATGAGATTTTTAACATTTGAAAATTAGGTCACATATTCTTTCTTTTGTAGCTATTGTTCTTTGGTATAGGAAAGGAGAGACTGCGGTTTTCAAAGCTTTTGAAACCACAATTCCTCACCATATTTCCATCTCCACATTGGTACTGTTGACGTCCAGGTCACGAAAAGCACAGGTCAGTGTGTGCTCGGAGTCAGTATTAACCTCCAACTGACTGTAGCACGAGAATGAGTAGTCGTCTGGCTCTGCATCTTCCAGATCTCCTGGGGAAGAACAAACCGACAGTTTTTAGTGACTCAAGTAAATGTGTCCTTTTGGAATCTGGAGTGACATTAATAAGATGATAGGCTCTGGTGACAGGCATAAAGGAGTAATTTTATTTTATTGAAAAAAGGAAAGCTGAAGGACGAAGAAAATAAAGATTATAAGAACTCAAAGGGCATAGGATTTTCTAGGAGGAGTGAAAGCTCATGATGGTGAGTAAATAACCTCTATACAAAGTTTCCAAATCTTTTGGCTATTGGCTTAGGGCATGATCTAGAGTGAGAAACCAAATACTCTTGTGTTTCTTGAAACTAGAATTTTCATTTATTTCCTTCCGAGTTTTTATGTTTCAAATTAAGGAAGATGATAATGACTGTGCAATTAGAAGTTTGTATTTTAAAGGGTGGTTTTCTCTTGATATGGACATTTCCAACTAAAAGTAGCATTGATTAGTTTGTCAGGATATTTTCTAAAATCTCTTGGGATATGGACAGAAACAGATTAGATAAAATGAGATATGACAAAATTCATGTCTTGTGGACCTTCCTAGATCTTATAGACAATGCAGTTGAAGAGACTGGTAAAATGAATTCTCAAATACACACTGATTAGGATCTGAGAACATTTGGAGAAGTCGAAGTGACCCTCAGAGTGGTTGAGCGTGGGCCGATGGCTGCTTGCAGGACTTCCGTCCACCCGTATCAGGAATTCGATGATCTAAAGCCTTTGAGCAGGATCCAGAACATCCCAAAGATCATTTGTTGGAAACATCCAAACACCACTCTTTTTACTTAAATATCTTACGGGCACCAGCATAACAAAAGACGTCCATTGACCTTAGCCATCAGCTGGGCAAAATGCATATGACACATCTTCTCAATTATGGAAGCGTGGTGCATATACTTTCCCCTACACTTCAAGTGATTATGTTTTCAGAAACAGTTCACTGGTTCTTCAATGTATATTACCAAACAGGGTGGCTTTGTAACCAAGGAAAAATTCCCCTCCACAACTTGCAAAATTGCTTAGCATTTTACAAAGATAATATTGTACTTGAACTGGGTTGAAACATTCTTTGCTAAGAGTAGTATAGTACAGTTAAGTGTTCTTGTGCCAAAATTGGACAGATGTAGGCTTAGATTATTGTTATGCTACTTAAAACATTCATCCTTCGTTAAATAACTCAACCTTGCTAAGCCTCAGTGTTATGATATGTAAAATCATCTTATTATGGGGGAGTCATGGTGCAAATAAACATACAAAGCCTTATCCCGGCCTTTAGTGGGCACTCAGTGAGGACTGGCTACGGCCTTCGTTACTGGTAGAGATGGTGAAGATGGCGCTGGACCGGGTAGGATTTTGCTGTTGTTCAAAGGGTTGTTATGAGTCAGAGGTGACTAAATGGCATCTAACAACATAACATTCATCATCAGTTTTGAGAAATAAGTAATGTAAAGGTTAAATAAGAATTTGAGTTCTGAAAATGTACATAAAATGTTGGGGCTTTTTGGAAAGGTTCTATGATGGTCTGGCCATCTTTCTGTAATCACATAGAACTTTTGAATAATGAGTTAGATCCTATTCTGTAAATGCTGAGTATGTAGGTATATCTACCCAGAAATTTTTAGGAGATATCTATCTATCTATCTATCTATCTATCTATCTATCTATCTTTATATCATCTATATATCTATATATCTGGTGGCCTAGTGGTAAGAAGCTGCACTGTAATCCCAGAAACAAGCGATTCTAGGCTACCAGCTGCTCCACTGCAGAAGGATGGGTAATCTCCCTCCATGTGATTAACTGCTTCTGAAAACCCACTAACTATGGGTCAGTTACGACTCTACAGTACACAACAACAACAACAACAACAACATATGTATATATATTATAAACAAGACTCTACTATGTGTGGCTTAGATGTCTTCTTTCTAAATGGAGTTAGTTGATTGGAAAATTAAGAATTTGGATTTTTTTAGTATATATCTTCCCCCCCTTGATCTTCTCATGTGATTTTCAGAGAATTGACTTAACTTTCTACAAACAACAACTCAGAAGCTTGTGAATTTCTTATATACTTCAAACTGGGAAGTAAATTGACATAATCATGTGGATGGGTGGTTACATATGAAATGCCTTTCAGATGTTCTAAAAAAAATTAAGAAATGTACAAAGTTGAAGTGAAAACTCAGTTTTTAATTAGAGTTGTTATTTCTTTTAAAAATAGAGTAGCTGCTAGGGAGTAGAGGAAATACATTAAACCCCAAAAAGTAAGACTTATCAGTAGGTCTCGCTTCACCTGAATTTTTCAGACACCAATCCACTTGCATGCAAATATTTACCATGGAATAGTATTCAGCCCCCAGAGAGTGACTAATACACCCTTACACTGCAAATGTCAACCCTCTGACAATTCCCTTAATGAGAAAATTCTCGGGATTTCCATCCTTTGTAATGATATGACTTAAAATATCTAAGCTGAGTCATTATGTTGAGGTGGTTGATAACATCTATAACAAGTCCTTTAGCTCTTAAAGAGAAAGGGCTTAATCTGCAGGGACAGTGCAAGGTGGTCCAAGTTTCCAGGTGAGTTTTGTTGCAGTTGCTTCATCTCTCCCGGACTGTTTTGTTATCATTAGTTTATATTTATCAAGCAGGAAGGTCTGCTTCTAGAAAAAGCAAAACAAAACACCAACCAAAAAACCCCCAACAAGACCCAAACTCAATGCCATCAAGTCAATTCCAACTCAGAGGACACAGTACAACTGCCCTATAGGATTTACCAGACTGAAAGAAGCAGAAGGCTACAATTTTCTCCCTTGGAGCCTCTAGTGAGTTTGAACTGCTGTCCTATGGTTATCAGCTGAGCAATTTATCTACTGTTCTGTCACATCTGCTTTTTAGTTATTTTGAAACTCTCCAAAGAGAATTATTCTAAGAGGCCAACTTGTTGATACGGTAGCAGTAAAAATTATATGAGATAATGCACATCTTTTGCTATTCAGCTAGTCTCTATGAGTCTCATATGAATCTATCAAAGTGAGAGGATTTAGAAAGCATTATCAAATATTTACTGGCTGCAAACTACACTTTAGCTACTCTGTGAAGTGCTGGCAATATAACACTAGTCAAAGCAGAGAAAATTCTTGTTTCTGGTCATTATTTGATTGTGTAAGATGGAACCATCAAAAAGTTCAACAAAACAAAGTTAGCTTGATTTCGTTACAAGGTGAAATTACTTTGGAGATTTATCAACAGTCGCTATCAAACAAGCATTGGTATAGATGTTGTTTTTGGAAGAAAAGAAACATCAATCAACATTTAAGATCCACATTGTGAGAAGCAAATATATTCCTTCTTGGCAATTCTGAGTTCCTTTATAAATAAACTATCCACCTTCTTCTCCCCAGGTCCCTTGTCCTGGTATTTAGAACTTACATATGCTAGTTCTGAAAGCATGCTAACTTCTCAAACTCCTTTCCTCTCTGGTGCCCCAGCTCACATTTCACAGAGATCTGAGCAGTCTACAATATATGCTAGAGATCCTCCAAAATCCTAAAGGAAAGTTAGAAATGACTCACCGTTCTGCGCATAGCCACTTTCTCCAGAAACGGCATGAAGTAAATAGAAAGCCATACCAAAAACTGTACTTAGAATTCTCATTCTGAGAGGGAGGAAGAGGAGCGAGAACATGTGTGAGCTCATGTGTACGAATGAATGAGAGGGAGGGAGGGAGAGAGTGAGGGACTTAGATCTACAGCTTTATACTAATTTAACCACAGCCAGGGGGAAGTATAAACACAGCAGAAGAGAAGGCAAGTGTCAGAAACAGGAAGTCTGAGTAAATGTATTGCTGCTGTAAGCAGAGGCAGAGCAAAGCAGGTAGAGCATTTAAAATTATTAGAAGACAGTAGTCACTGCGTCGACGCCAAATCCCGGTGATCCCGTGTACAGCGGGGCAGAACAGTGCCCTATAAAGCTTCCAGCAGCTGACTTTTGGAAGATACACTGCTATGCCCTTCTGCTAAGGCATCTCGGGTTGCATTTAAACCTCCTGTCTTTTGACTGAACACATTCATCGTTTGCACCGCCTGACACACAAAACCAAACCAGTTGCTGCTGGGGTGGTTCTGACTCATGACAATCCTTGTATGTGAGAGTTGAACTTTGCTCTTCGGAGTTTTCAATGACTGTGACGTTTTCAAGCAGATTGCCAGATCTCTCCGTGTGGAGGAACTCAAATTTGGCACATTTTCATTTCCAAGCCAAGCACTTTTAACTGTTTGCATTTCCCAGGGACTCTTAGGAACTTCTACTGTATTATGTCTCACCAATACTGCTTACTGTTCTCAAACTTACTCTGCTTATTTCAGAATAAGTTGGTGTGCTCGAATCTAGCCTCAAGCCGTTTCAGGCTACGGTGTAAACCTAGTCCACTTTCGAAGAATTGTGTGACAAAATTCTAATTGTACAAGGCTGATTGGTTGGGGTTTGTTTAAGAAGGAGTTGACACTTTATGAAAATAATCATTGCAGGTTTATTTTAAATAATTCCCCTTTAACCTCCGATTGCATGTTAAAACCAAACCAGGCCTCTACTGTTGAGTCAATTCTAAATCAGAGTATGGTGACCCTACAGAACAGAGAACTGCCTGCCTGT